ATGATGCCCAAAACTGGACAGTTTCTTGCTACTGAGGTCCCAACAATGCTGACTGGAATGGAATTCTCAGGGTTTATGGACAGTGCTGAGGTTAATGCATCCTAATACACACTTCCCTTTTCTGCAAAGGCATCAGGGGGTTTTGTGTCTGTTACAGTGGTGCTTGCTTTCCTCAGACCAGCTAACTCCCTGCCCTTGGGTTTTTGGTTACAGGGCATTCTGTGCTTGAAATTTTTTCTCAGTTCTCTGTACTTGACTGTGTCAATGTCCTGCAGCTCATTTTGGATCTAACAGTTCCTCTAATACTTTGAGCACTGCAGAAGCAGCTCATCTTGATCTTCACAGCTTCTGCACCCTTATTCACCTCAATGTTTCTCACCATTCTACCATTCTTGCAGCTTTTTTAAGTAGGTTCAATAGCACCTTAGCAAAGAGATTGGCACATTTACACAAGTAGAAAAGGACCAACACATACAGGAATATACCAAAGGCCTTAGGAAAATAAAGATATGTTGCATCTGTTTCTTTTCTCTTATCCATAAGAACAGGCACTCAAAGGAAGAGATTTGCTTTCCACAAATGCACAGTGGCTGCCTCTGGGCAAGTTCTAGGCATTATGTTCTAGGCACTTAGGAAGTCTCCCAGTGTGTTTTGGCTTCTTTCCATGCACTAAGGTTGTGTCCTGAAGTTCTACACACTGATCCAATTTCTACATTCTCCCTAAGAAAAGAAGCATGTTTTCAAAGCCCTAACACACACATACCATCAAAATCACTGCAGTCTAACTTATCTTTCCCTACATCCATTTTCATTACTCTGTGTTTAGTTCTTTTTCACCTTAAATTCACAAATTCTACTATTTCCTAATAATTTGCAAATTATCCACACTCAGATCACGTGTCCTCAGCCCCTGTGGCCACAGCCTGTGTTTATGTTTACTGAACTTGATGCTGATACCAAAGTTTTACACACTCAAGTTAGACTAATCCAATCTAATACCTTACTGGTACTGAAACTGGCACTCTCCTCATTTTCAGTTGCATCTGCTCACTCTGGTTCTTGTCCAGCTTTAGCACTCATCTAATCCCTTGGAGAGCTGATTCAGCTCATTAAACCAGCAGAAAATAGATTTGTTGTTGTTTGGGCTTTTTTGATGGGCTACTTTTCCTGCAGCGACAGATAAAAACACTTAGCCCATTTCACCTAATTGCAGTCTCATGCTGGCTTACATCAGTTTGAATCGATCTGAATTAGAGCTGCCGTCTTCATCTCTTCACCCTCACCTCCACAACTGTGCCCCCTCCTTGGTACCATCACTCCCACTCCTGCTAATGGACGGCAAGCCAGCCAACCAGGTCATAACCCACCGTATTCCCACTCACTAGAGCTTCACCTCAGACATGCAGGCATACCTCTCAAGTATAGTCTGTTCCCTAGACAGCGTTTGTATTCAGCAGTTTGTGTACAGTAAATACTTTTGATTGTGTTACTGTCTGCCATATCATAAACTGATTATGTATAGAAGCTCCCAATAAGCAGAAAACATCACGTTCTGAGGTGATGGCAGAAGAGGAAGTACAATGCTTCTGAGTGATTATTCTTTCTCACATGATTTTAGGCCTTTACAGAACTACTCTCATGATTTTATTCTTCTAAGCTTTTCACAATCAAACATTAATATTGAGTTGTATTCATTTTTCACAGTCCATTAATTTAATCTCATACCCTTTTACACAAACATATTCTAAGGCTGCACTGTTTCTCACAGATATTTTGGGGTTTGCTCTTTTTGATACAGACAGGGTGCAAAGTCATGCAGGCAATGGCTCCCTTATTTCCTATACACAGCCCAGAAGCAGAAGTTTTCTTTAGTCTAACACCAATAATGTAACTGAGTCTAAGCGTGTGCTTTGCTCTCTTCTCAGCGAACAAACTGTTTCCTTACAGCTTCATTTGCAACATACAAAATGCATTATTAGGCTTTCTGTGCACTCAAGCTGAGGGCCATCCCATATTTCTCATTAGAAGCTACACTTCAATTTCACAACCAATTATAACACTTTGGGGTGTTATCATTAGCATCACTCATGCCCTTTTATGTTACCGAAGAGAGAAAATCAAACCAAGACAGAATTCTTCATTTATATTTCTATGCCTTTTAGACAAAGAGCACTTACTAAAATCTGTCAGGGTTGGTTTAACTTGCACACTGTTTGCCACATTCAACACTTTGCTGTTCTGTTTCAATGACCAGATGTACCAGGTGACAATACAACTCCCAGAGATACCATAAGCCCCAAAATAACATTCAGAACAGCTTTTTATGTGCCATAAAATGTAAAAGCTACAGCTAAGACCACTTTCAGCACACAGTGTATGAAAATAGTTCTCATGATCCTTATCAGCCAGAGCTTGCAATCTAAACAGACACAGGAAATATTATCCTCGTACTCAGAAGGCATAGAAATATTAAGCATAGTTAACACGGACAAATTACATTGGTAATTTTTCAAAGATGCTCAGAGTAATAAAGCAAACTGGAGCTTCCAATTCCCAAGTCGTACCCCACCCACAGTCCCCATGTCAAGCTTTCTTAGGTAGAAAAGCATCCACTTCTTGAATAGTATGAAAACCTTTTCCATAATGCAATGCTGCTTGCCTTATCATTAAGCCCTATGAAATACAGTGACCTCCTCTTCTCTGTCACACTTGCCATGCAAGGGAAAAAGAAGATCAGAAATCATCTGTCTGCAAATGCCGTTTCAAATTATGGGTTTGAAAGAAATGAACAGTGTTGTGTCCAGCACAGTTGGCATACTGCGCAAATCCTAAATCAAAGAGGAAAGAAAGATCCACTTCTACTGAGATAGTCCTTAATGCTGCCAGCAGTCCTGAAGGACAATGGAGTACTCTCACTTACTGAACTAAACTGGCCTGTTTTACCATTACCAAAGGTCCAGTATGCAGTCCAGCAGGAGGTTTTGAATATGGCATACACCAACAAGCAACCACAGACTACTGGCAGGTAAAACACATTTGCAAATCCAAATCATTTATTGCTATTTTTAGACTGTTCTGACACACTGCCTTCAGTGCCCTGATACCAAACTTCAGTACAGGTTCTGTCTGTCCTACATGTCTTCATTTCAGTCAGTTTTGACCTACTTTGTCCAAGTCACACATGGCAAACTCATTCTCTACAAGTAGTTTTTTATCCACTGCAACCCACAGAAAGAAGAGAACTTGCCGACTCTTCAGTTCACAGCCGGATTTTGCAATACTGTGAATTCTCTTTGCCAACCATACAAAGGCATTTTCTAATTTCATTACTTTAGAATATCTTGCCTTGAAATTTACAGTGTATTTTTCAAGGTTCTCTTTCTGTGTCTTCTCTGTTGCACATGATGGCTCAGATTTACAGTCTGGAAATGTTTTCCAGATCAAAAGAATGTCTGCCTATTCAGGTACAGCAGTTACCCAATTACAACTTCTGTGGAGACCTTTGATTCCTTATTTTACAGTTCTGAGGCCATTCTCCCCTGGCCAATGTTACAGTCTTGCTAGAAAATTGGTTGGATTCTATGTTGTATTCTTTAAGCTGGGGCTATAGTACATACAGAAATTTAGGTTAGATATAAGGAAGAAATTCTTTGCTTTGAGGGTATTGGGACAGTGGCACAGGGTGCACAAAGAAGCTGTGGTTGCCCCACCCCTGGCAGTGTTCAAGGCCAGGTTGGATGGGGCTTGTAGCAGCCTGGTGGGGTGTGAGGCATCCCTGCCCATGGTAGAGAGTTGGCACTGGATGCTCTTAATGTCCTTTCCAACCCAAACCATTCTCTTATTTTATGATTTTTATTTAGGCTGCACTACTTTTTGTAGGGTACCACAAACCCAGAATGATAGCTCTTCACAGTTAGCAATTATGCATCATTCCTAAAGGTTGGCAGCTTGACGTCTGCTTTGCCAAACAAGTTCCATCCATACTATGGTAATTCACTTTTGGGGACACTGGTATCTCCGCTGGAGCCAGCCTGCATTAAGCTGAGCTTATCTTTGGGCCAGCTATCACCCACTCACTGCACGCATTCTGATTCATTCAGTCACACCATTATGTATCATGAAAATGTACTCCAACAGTGTGACTAAATTTTAAATCATAACAATTCTATAAGAAGGACCTGGACCAGAGGCAGAGAATGTTTCTCTCAGAGACAATGTCTATTTTTGATCTCAAAGCAGTACCTAATGTTTATGGAAAAAACATGATTTTTTTATGTCTGAGAAAATATACAAATTTGAGAATCCTGAAGCATTATGAGGTCCAAGGTCTAGATACATACTGCAGATTTATTCTCACTCCCTAAAGGGGCAGACATCCTCTGAGAAACAGCAGCAGTACTGACAGGACAAGATGTACATCATACTTTTACAGATCCTTAATCTGAACAGTTAGAAGGTGAAGAACCCACAGCAAGATCCAGGGCAAGAAGTCAGCATATACATAAGCAGAAATTACTTCTTTGTAACTTTGGCTCAGTCCATAACCACTGAGAAAAACCCCAAGTCCCTTCTATTGCAAACAGCAATCCCAATATTTATGATTGGGAAAGTCTGTGCAGACATAAACATTCTCACTGCTCTGTAATTGAAGTTCCACCAGTTGTTCCCACACTTCAGCCCATACCAAACCCTGAATTGACCGAAGGATGTGCCCTCATTGGTGTAACTGAGCAGAAAGGCAGCAAACACCTTTCATAGAAAGCTGCTGGCTCTCAGCTGTTCAATGGCTCAGCCCTAGAAAAGTTGATGATATTGACATTAAGCTGCTCACCATCTGTTTCCTTAGACACATTCAAATATTATAAGTGTAACTTGAGTCAATCCTACACTCATTCATTCACACAGACTACCTGGCTTTATGTGGTTTCCTCACAAGTCAGGAAAGATTTAGTCCCTTCCATACTCATCATGAAGAAAATAATGTAATGCAATCTACTTACCGAAGGATTTCCTTCCGAGTGAAGAATGTGCAATCCTGTTAAAAACCAAAAAGTATTATTGTACTAGAGAAATAGTGAAAAACAATCCTGCAAATAATCACTTGTCAACCTTTTGGAAGCAAACTCAGATCTGGTAGAAAAACATTAAAGATTGTATTTGTGTACCATCTGCTTTGGACTCAGAAACAATATATACTGTAAAATAACTGAAATATCCTAAGGACAAGGCTATCAGTAAAAATATATTGTTAATGTGAAACTTTAGGAGAAAAATAAAACATAAACCCAACAGGCTGCTGAAGTACTTCTCCACTGTGGAATGACTAGACCAGAAGCAAAAATAAACCAAAAAGTAACGTACATGCCAAAAACATTCAATAAATGGATCTAGAAAGCTACAAGTAACAAACAGGTAAAGGAAACTATCTTCTACCTTGGAGTATTCCTCTATTAAAGACACTTGATTAATAATAAAAATAATGTACTGATTTATTAGTTATTAACTCTTTTTGCTAACAGTGACTTTGCACTGTGGTCATTCTGGCGAAGGCTGCAAACTCCCCAAGTCAGAAACATGGATAAAAGGAAAGGCCCTGCTCCAAACAGCAGGCAAACTGTCCAGCCTCTCCCTGTGTATCAACAGAAATTGAAATAACTTACTAGAATGCAAAGTAGAGCTGGTTGAACTTGAAAGAGGAGCTTACAGGCATTAACTTGCATTCTAAATGGCTCTGTGGTGGGACTGCATTTACACTGGTTTAATATTTATGAGCATCTGGGGTTTGCTTGAACAATTCACATACTTCACAGAAGAACCATAATATGAGCAGCAAAACAGTTTGCATTCGTGTATTTCTGTATCAGTCACACAACCAGTTATATATTCAGGTGCTGTAAGGAATAATAATCAGTCCTATCTCATTAACATATTCCCTAATCTCCACTATTTTACCCAATATATATTTAGGGCATATTGTGCCCTGCATTTGACGCTAGGAACGCTGGCAGCAAGGATATATTTATTGGATGGCCAGTTTAGAACATTGTTCAGGTCATAAATTCAGAGAATATGCATCTTCTTGTCTTAGAACTAGTGGCTGGTGTGGGTGTATATATGTATATATATGTGTGGGTGTATATATGTATATATATGTGTGTGTATGGAGCAACAACTAAACCACAAAATTCTTCTTGACTGTCCACTTCTCTCACAGGCCCATCTGATGTGACAAGACATTTGCCTAAGGATTCAGCTCTTGGTACTTTTCCTCCCTCAATGTAAATACATTTAAAATATCAAAAAATACCATATAAGACAACATCAGACTTCAGAAGTTGTACATACAAGTAGTATGACTCCCCTAGTCTGCTCTTCAGTCAACTAGTGAAAAAGCATTTCTGTCCTAAGCTGATCATCATTCTGGCTAAATGCCTGTTTCTTCCAAGAAGGGGAAAAGGAAGTGATCACAGCTAGCTGAAGCAGTCAAGCAGCTTGTCTCAGGCACCCAGCTATGCTATCAGTCCTGCATGGTATCAATTATTGAATCTGCTTGCTCTCCTCCATATAACGTGGCAGGAGAAGCAGCTCCTCCTTCAGTGTATTGTGTAGCAGAATAGCATTACAAGGCATAATAGGAAGCACCTTGAGAGCTGCTGACACCGATGTCACATTGTCTGGAACTGCACAAAGTGAAATAGGAGCCAGCTGGTTAAGTTTTCATTAATTCCAAGCACATGCAACACTTACAGGCAAACTGTCACTTAAGGATGCTTCACTTACTAAGTAAAGGCAGGTGCAATCTCACAAATAATTGTCATGCCCTCAGCAGCAATCATCCTGTAATTATATAGGCTTGAGAAAACACTGTTACTTAACTAGGAAGCTGACAGGGAATTGATATGCAAATGGAGATAAAGATGAAAAAGACAAGTTATCCTTTGCCTTCCAGAAATGGTGACAAAATGCCATTGGAAGACACAGGAAGGGGGCAAAGTGTAAACCTGTTATGCTCAAGATCCACAGAATTTGGTTTTAATCTGAATAATTCTTTGACAAACACTATTGTCTGAGGGTTTTTTTTTTAATCAAACATTTTTTTTTACTAATATAATCCAAAACCCACTGATACCAGAAACCTTTATAACACAAGTAGTTGCAAGTATTTGTCTAACCACTGTTACTGACTGCCGTGCTCCAGTTATGTTTGCCCATTACATGGAACTGTGTGTCAGGGACGACGGGATGCCAAAAAAAATAGTACAGTGATTTCACAGACCACTTGCAGAGATCTTAAAGCTATTCAGGGTCAGAGCACCACAAATTAATTGTGACCTGGCCTATACTTTCGATCCACAGCAAAGTTACAGACACCACTCAAGAAACACTTTTCCATTAAGAAGCCTGTCTGATCTCCAATGGGTAATGTGAAAGCCACAGCTCCAAGCGATATCTGAAAGGGAAGTCCAGCCATCCCTCTTGCTTCTCCCAGTTTATTATTTCTGCCTTTTCCTTTATTCAGACTTCACACCAGTGAGTAGTATAACTGCATCAGAGAATGCCAAAGGAAAGAACTAATGTGTTTGGAAACTAACCTAGCAAAATGGACTCATTTCCAGCTTGGACCATTTCTTTTTAGTGGCTTAGAACGTAGCATCGGTAGTGCTGGTAACAAGAGATGAAGCTAAGACAAATATCTACTGGTGGCAGGAAATAGAGAGGTGCAGGACTGCCCTAAGTCGGATTAATGTTGTGATGGAAGAAGGGTCTAAATAACATAATTACATTTTATAGTTGATGGAACTCAGCAGTTTAATTCCAGTTTAATTAAAGACTTTTGGGGAAAGAAACATGGAGGTGAATCATCCAATTTTCTTCTGGCTCCTTCATTCATACAGAAAATACACATTGGTGGACAAAAACTAGAAAACTAACATGTACAATTAACTACCTCATGGGCAAAGGTGGATCCTGGGAAGTATTTACCATTTATGCATGCAATGACATTCATCTTCTTTCAAGCCAGAGATATCATGGACAAAAAAAGCAAAAAGCAGACATTTTCTATTATATGGACTGTGTTTGAATTTGTTATGACCTTAAAAATCAACTTATCTATTCTGTCTGGACCCTAAAGCCACTGGGAATCCTGCTAGAAAAGTACGAACTAAATACTGAAAAACACAAACATGTTACCAGAGTTTCCATAACCCTTATCAATTCAAGATTCCTGGCAAGAATTTATCTGGACAATCACTGCTTTTTATTTCTAATGCTATACAATGGCCTGAAAAACTTATGCTACCAGGAGGCTCCTTGTGGGTTTTAGGTTATAGAGAATAGAGCTTCACCTTGAAAGATCATCTCCTGCAGCCCCTGAGAAAATACATGCTCTTTTCTAAGATCAACCATCCCCACTCAGTCTGCCTTGTACCCTTAATAATCAAGTTAATTACAAGTCTGACAAAGGATCACTGCTGTTTTTTTGGAGGTAAGATACCACTTAAACCCATCTGCAATTGCCCACTTAACTTCCTTATGTTTAGCAAAGTGAATAAAACAAAGCAAACAGAAAAATTCCCATTGATTTCAGTGAGCTCATCAGCTTATATAATGGGACTTGGTTCTCAAATTTGGCATTTAAGTGCTTAACTGCCTCTTAAAATACTTTGCAGAGAAAGAGACAGACGGCTGGTGTATTCAGGTGCCATGGGTGCCTTTGCTCTTGGCTCATAATGTGACTTTCTGCAAGTCACTCAATGTTACTTGTAAAGTAGGGTTAATGGTGTCTGCTCTTCAAATTTACTTTATAAAAGAGCAGAATGTACATGCTGTTAGAGTTTTATTCTTTGATTTCCCATGTCAGATGAATGCAGGTTTTGGACAAAACAGGAACAGAGTGAAATGGTGGCCCACTACCTTTTCCACTAGTCTGCAAGACTAGATTGCAGACTCCTAGCTCAGTTCTGCTCTACGTTTAGTTCTACAGAGATTTAAACAACAACAACAAAGAATTAGAGATAACTGGGCTGAGAATGCTGATACTTAACTTCATGTACAGTGTGCATATACAGGGTAACAGGAGGTATGGCTCCAGAATCAGAACACATTCATTTGTGCTGTTGGATAGATTGCCAGTTCCAGATCACAGCATAAGCATGCAGTCTGTGAATGGCAGCAGAATCAAAGATTATCGCTTAGCACTTCTGAAAGCCAGTATCGGTGTGCATATTTTCAATAAAACTAATTTCACATAGATAAGAACAACACTTCTCTGCAGAAAACAAGAAAAACAGGAAAAAGTAACAGTAGAAGGAAAGACTAGCAGTGCTCGAGTATGCAAAGCTCTGTGAAATAATATTTCTTAAACCCATTAGATGCATATTTCTTCTCTAAGACAATACTTCTCTATTCTGCCTTTTATACATAATGTTTCGTAAGGGCAGGTTTATTCTGATCCTGCAACAGCTCCATTGGAAAGCTTTATAAATAAGGAAATAATATAAAACAGTCAGCAACACAAAAAATAACTTTAAAGCAGAAAAACAGTCTCAAACAAAAGCCAGCAACCCACAGATAAAGTAAACCAATGACTAATAGGAATATCCTCAAGGCAAGACAGATTACATCCATATAGCTACCTGACTGAGCAGTTTTAAAGAAATAAGTACTGAAGACTGCAGCATTTTAAATGTTAATATCTTAAATACATAGAGTCATGGAATAGTTTGGGTTGGAAGGGTCTTCTAATCTAACCCCTCCATGCAATGAGCAGGGACATCTTCAACCAGATCAGGTTGCCCAGAACTACCTCCAGGCTAGCCCTGAAGTTCTCCAGGGATGGTGCATCCACTGCCTGTCTGGGCAATGTGCCAATATTTATTGGTCTCATTGTAAAGAATTTTCTCTCCATGTCCACCTTGAATCTCCCCTCTTTTAGTTAAAAAGCATCACTCCATATCCTATTGCAACAGGCCCTGCTAAAAAGTCTTTGCTTCTGTGATCACTCTGAAGATATAAATAAAGAGTCACTGGATATCAGTGAGACTAACACCAGCCTTTAAATCTCATAGCTGTGCAAGTTCTTTAGTGAATCCAGATTTGAACACTAAAAAAAAAAAAAATCCTAATAGTTAGTATTCAGTAATAGTACTGGTGTAGGGACTTCTATCTTAAAAAATAATGCTGGTTGCATCAGAGTGTCAATGGAAATAACATCCAGCCTATCTTTAGTTGTAATCATATACATTTTACAACTACAGCTAGAACAACTAACAGACCCACTGAGTCTTAGGAGACAAAATCTGCAGCTATAAGGAGCCAGTTTGTATATTTATACTGCCACATGGGAGGAAAGAGTTGGAGGTTAGCAGGTCTGTGGAAGAAGCAAACTGTCAACAAATGTAATTTTGCTCTCTATATATACATCAGGTGGTAACATGAAACCAAAACCTGACTAAAGAACAGTTGCACACAAATCTTGTTCCATTATTATGCCGATTACATTTGCACATTAACAGTAATACTCTATCAAACTGAAAAGTATGTTTTACAGGAGATCCTGGGGAACCTATGATGAACACACTTTCTGTATTCTTGTGAAGGGTTCATTTTCACCAAAGATCCTGATTGAGTCAAGCACAGCTTTTTAAAATCAAAAGATAACTTGATGACCTAGTTTCACTTTATAAGGGGCATGTCTTGATAGATCATAACCTAATTTGTTTTATCTAGTATTGCATAATTCTCATGAAATGCAGTTGAATCCCACTTTGACTAGAATTTTAGTACAAGGAAAACAGTTAGCTCTGCCATAGACAAATCCTTGTGTAAAAAAAGCAAGTCATTATTTCATATAGTATCCTTTATTCCAGTACTGCCTAGAAGACAGCCTGGGTAAACATCAGCTTGTTTTGAGGGTCCATTAAATAGCAGAGAGGACTTAATCCCACAAATGAACAAATACAAAAAGAAACACCTTGAAATAAACCCAGTAATATCTGATATAAAATATTTATGCTCTACATTCTCTAGGTTCTGCCTATTAGGAAAAAAAATACAACCAAATTTATGTAAAATGCAGACCACTTATTTGAGTAACCCCAGAAAAGGGGCAGAGTTTGATCAAACAATGGAGGGGTTTATCCATAGCCCAGGCACAGCTTCTGTGCATTTCCTACTCAATGGAATTGCTTCTCAGTGAGAAATGCAGTGCACTGAGGCCAGCGTACAGCTCTGCTGCACTGTATTGCCTCAAGTATCTCTAAAGAGCATTGCTCAAAGCACCCTAAAACACCTGTTCGTTTTCTTTACTTGTTATGAGACTTGACCTCCAAAACCCTGACCACTGTCTAAAGATAATTTCTTTTAAAAGCTTAATTTTAAGATGTTCTTTGATTGCAATGAAATACATTGGTTTTGCTGATTAAAACTTAACCTCTTCCCCAGCCAGACCTTGGCTAGATTTTGCAAAAAACAAGTAAAACTGACCCACAAAGACAAACCAAACCACACCAACAAATAGTCATGTACTCTAAAGGCATGAAAGTCACAAGTCCCCAGTAGAATTCATTTCCTGCATTTCCTAACTTTTAAAATGAGGTGAAGCTCAGTGAGGAAACCAAAGCTTACAAAAGCCTGATTTCCAAATACTTCACTAAACTTACGAAAACGTAAGGAGCTGCCAACTAGAACACTATCTTAGTAACAGATAATATGATCTTAATAACAGGTGACATGCCAAGGTGTTCAGAGATCTGCAGCTTTCCAGTCCTTAATTTGCCTCTATTTCAAATAAAAGAAGCTAAGAGGTTTAATATTATCAATTCCTACTACACCTTTTACAGTTTCAACTGGCCACCCATCACCAGTCATAATGAAGAGTATTAAAAACACTTGTTTACTAAAGAAATCAAGGTAATCTTGTGGGTGACCAGCTTTACAATTATTTAATTTAAACGTAAAGGTTCTGCTAATGAGTGCCTCTTCTATATGATAGTTTACATGCAAAAACAGTTTATGCGTAGACATCTCAGAAAGTTTAAGACAAATCAAATCAGGCTATTCTATTTATTTAATATCATATTAATAATTGGATATTTATGCAAGTTAGCTCTTCAAGCAGGTGGTTTGTCTGCAGCTTGATCTTTACTCCTGAAAAACCAATGCTTTCATATGGTTTTATGATACTTTAAGCACACAAACTTCTCAATTCTCCATCGCAGCATCTCCTATGGATCAAGAGCTTAAACCATCATGCATTAAAAGAATAAAATAATAAAAATGTCATTACTAAAGTGGTGTTTAGGTGCTATAAGCTCAGAGCAATTTGCGTTGAAGACAGAAATGGTAGAAGTTACACCCAGGTAATACAACGGCCAGAAATACATTCCAATAAAGAAATGTTAATTCTAACCATGAGGTGAGTGAAGTTTTGAAGAGGCTTCTAACAGAAACTGTGGGGAAGTCAAGAAAACTCAAACAACTATATTACAAAAACAGATGGAGTCAACTGTTTTGCTTCTGCCAGCCTGATACTATGGATTCTGTAGCCCTGAGTAATATTGTGAAGAGAACAGCACTAACTTATAGACATACAAATGCCTGGTTCTCAGATGCTGGTACATAGTGTTTGGTTCAGAGGACCTGGCAACTCAACTGCTGGGTCAAGAAGTTAAAAACCTGCATTTTAAACGTTATGGAACCATTACCTCATTCTCCCTTTTTCTATTCTGAAGTAATTCCACAAATGGGAAAAAGCCATCTAAGACAGAAAACTCCAAGTCAAACAGCTCCATTTGTACTACAGCAACCACACAGTGCCTCAGAAAGCAGGAGAGGGGAGAGCTCTGTGTGTCAATGGCTACAGCAGTGAGCCCAGGATCCCTGCATTAAGATACTGTATGAGGAGTTATGCAGGAACTAATGGATCAGAGGCTAATCACCCTCCAACTGAAGTCTTGACCTGACTGTTCACAGCATGAGGCTAATATTCCTTCCTAACAAATTCTAGAGGTTTTGTCCTCAAACTTCTTATCTTTTTGTACTTACCATACATAACAAGTGATACTACTATTAAAAAATTACCTATCACTATAGTAATGAACTACAAGTCTGCCTGTAACAGAGAAATCCCATAGGCTAACTCAATCCACCAGACCTAACTGCTGCCAGGCTTTGAGATCAATTACCCAGCATATGAAAGGCAGGGGCTGCAAAAGCCATTAGGGAAAGGCAATTTCTACATGAAGAGTAGTGAATTAGGGATGACATTTCAGCTTTTGCATTTGCCAGTTTATGGCAAGAAGATAACATTAATTACATTTGGATTTTGTTTTGTCTCACTGCAGTTGTGCTCTGTTCTGTGTTCAGTTTCGTTGTTAGTAGGAAGACAGACACTGGTATTTTACAGATCTTTGATTTCTCTCTTGCCTATCTAGCAGGGATGTAAAAAAAAAAAAAAAACAACAAAAAAGCTTTTTTGGATCTTAGACCACCAAGTCTAAGACTGTTAACATAATATATTACAGTGTCAGACTGCTGGTGAGGGTGACATGTGCTACTGAGTGGAAATTAAAGAAGCTCCATTTTTTTTTATTTCCTACAACAGCAAGAAAAAGGATGGGCATTTAATAAAAGCATTTAATTTATGACTTATTTTCAGCATGGGATGACATTTTAAAGCATTTTAGTAAATAACCCTAGCCTGACTCTCTGTGGCTAAATAACTACACCTGTGAGAAGTCCATGTTAGCAGTTAACTCTGAAGAAAATTGGTATTTAAAATCAGTTTCTACTTCAAGGGCTTGAGCCACAGATCCTGCAGGTAATAAAGTTATTTACTTCTGTGTGCACTGGATCTGTCCCTTCATTATCAGAAGTTAAACTAAACCTTGATTTCCTGAACTGTTAGCTCTATGTTTATTGCTTCACATAAGAGAACAGAGCAGTGCAGCCAGCCCTGTCAAGCTGCCTCCTCCTTCAGCGCACTCCATTCCATAGATTGCCTCACCGTATTTTCAGAAACTTATTCAAGACACCCACTGTGCAGCAAGATTCCTGCAACCCATCTCAGTCAGATCTGTGGTGTGCCGAAACATGACTGAAAACTGGCAATTATTACTTTTTTTTACCCTATGAAAAATCCAGTTGATGTGACTTGAAGTAAATAAAGTACCACCAAAATGATACGCCTGGACATAAATGAATACTTTTTTTTATAAGGTAAGAAACTGTCACCCAGGAATGGATGCAAACAGAAGGATACTATCATTAAGCATGTTTCTAGGACTTATCCTTCGGAGAAGTTAATTTAGACAACACCTTCCTCCCCTCACCCCTATGGTCAGCAAAGGCATCAGGAGAGAAAAAGAGGTTACTGCTACACTTTCTTCTCTACAAAAGACTCAGTAGAAAGATTCTACTAAAACCTCACATTTCCAAGCTGATCAGTCTTTTTATCCTGCTTCCTAGTCTAGACACTGAGGATTTGACTCCTTTCTCTGTATACAGAGAAGGGAATTAAACTGAGTATATTCAACAACCCTGCCTTAGAATACTGTTCCAGTTGCTGGAAGAACAGTAGAATACATGCGTGCAGGCTAAAAATGAAGTTTTCATTTATTTTTGGAAAAAACACCCCTACCCACCGAACGAACAAGACCCAAAGCTACAAACATATGAAGATTACTCCTTCCCTGCCCCTAACGCAAACTGAGATATCTTACCTGGTAGGCATCTAGCTGTTCATCAGTAAATATCGTTTGCTTATTACCCATCTTAAATGAGGAGTTCTTCCTCTAAGCAAATACATCACATCAGAAGTAGTTGTATTCCTCTGTATTGTAGGCATTTAGGGCATGTATACTCCTTGAGAGTGCTGAAAAAAATCCCAAAGCCTGCATTGAAGTGGTTTTGGCTGTACCTGTCCAATGAGGAAGGACGCAGGATCAGGAAATCTTTGCAAAGGCTTGACTTGAGTGTGCCAGGAATGAAAGTGTTAAAATCACATGCAGGTGTCACCCAAAAGCAGGGATGCCATTCTCCATTCTCCCCCCTTTTTCAGATGCTTTCCTGAGAGGCATACAGAGCTTTTAAACCATAAACCCCGAGGAGCCAGTACTAGAAGAAATCAGCTCTCTATTGCCTCAGTTCACACTCCCTTGTTCACTTCAGGGCTCTCCTGCTCGGCACCTTCACGTTTCAGAGCAGCTTTGCGTCACCCAGTGCCCTCGGCAGCGCAGTCGTATTACATGCACACAGAGCAAACCTAGTAACTAGCAAAATGGATTAGCAAAGAGAAGGTTTCTGCAGCTGCTCTCCCCACAGATAAAAGCACGTCCTTGTCAGTGCTTGGATCTAACCTGAACGCAGCTGCTGATGTTAAACACAGCTGGAAGGCGGCTCAAAGCGTCCAGAGCATCCCCACATCATGCGGCGGGGGCTCCACACTAAACGCTTATCTACATTGCGGTTATAAAGAGCCCTGACTATCAGTGATGTGAGCTCACTACCATAAGTGCTAAACTCCCAGGTACACCAGCGAATGCAAGCATTTCTTCTCACGTTAAATAAATATATTGAAAAAAAAATCCGGAGGATTAAAGTAGTTTAAACAGACACTAATCTGACTCCTTAGGCTCAAACAAGCAGAGCTGGAAGGAGAAAAGGCTGTGACTGCAGCCTAAAGCAAAGGTAAAAGGTACCGCTAGAGGGCACAGTGTATTTCAACTATTACAACCCTGATTCCAGATTTCCGGGGAAATCTTAAAAATAAAAGAAATAAAAGAACATGTAAGAGATGCAGACAGACACAATGAATAGTTATCGAACATCTGCAGAAGGATAAGCTCTTATAATAACAGGAGAAAGAAGGCTGAGCGGGAAAGAATGGAAACAGGGAGGAAAGGTGTGCTGGAGTCAGTTTCTTTGAACTGCTCGCTTCGCGTTTGTGCACTCAGAACAGGAGAGTGAAACTCTTCCTACGTATGTATTCCTATGTACAGCCCTGCCAATGGCCATGATCCCCTCAGCAAGTTAGCGTCTCTAATAAAAACACCTTGTCCTTTTTCGTACAGCTTCTAATGATCCTGACCAACAGCATTGGGTAAACAGCAATTCAATTTGCCTTCACACATAAGAACACAGAACAAGCATTTAAAAATAATACTGAAAGTAACTCTATTGTATACAAACTAAAAACTGCCCTATGAGGTGTTGGGTATGTACTCAAAACCTCCTGTGAAGTGCTGAACCACAGACTGATGCAAGAGCCAACTTCTTTAGATTGTAACATTTAGAAATGCAGATTTGATTCAATGCAAACCAACTGTGCCCTAAGCAACAAAACCACAAGGTATTACCATAGACACAGAATAAAGGGCTTGGGATAAGAATGCTTTCACCAAGGCAAATTAGCAATAAGCAGACATCAGCATTTTAACAGTGAAAGAAATTGATTCTACCAGTAGAATATACCACAGGACAATTTCAGAATAATTTGAGATTAAAAGCTTTTGCAGTTCTGAAAGTTCATACACGTCCTCAGCTCTAAATGAGCTTTATCACTGGCTTTGGAGGTTACTGATCTAATGAAGCGTGCTTCCTATCTACTATCTGGTGGTACTGAAAGGCAAGAGCTAGCAGCTGTTCTCAGTGAGACCAGACCAATACTTAGCCAAGTGGTCTGATGAAATAGCACTCCCTTCACAGCCACCTAATTCAAGCTGCCTGTCTATGAAATCAGATTAAATATAAATGGCCAAATTATCTTTAATGCCATTATACAGAAGTGAATTGACACCAGGGGTGCATTGGGCTCCATATCTTTTAATCAGGAAAACTGGTATGGCTAAAAGAGCTAATTGCTTTAAAAGAGTTAGAAGTTCTTGCTTTAAAAGAAAGACTCAGGTTACAAAAGGAACTGCACCAACTGGGTTGATGGACAGAAAATAAAGTGTTTCTTAAAGTTTTCTTTCCACACTCTGGAGAGTATCTTTTATTAGTAAATAAAATTTAAGTGTCTAAATTTTTAATAAGAGGATTAAAATACCGATTGCTGAGGGTTTCACTATACTAGCTAGCTCTTCTCAAACATGCTATAATGGTAACTATTTCACTGCAAAATTGTATTACTATAATAACTGGGTAAATATTAAAGACAGTATAATATAAACTCTTTTTCACTCCTTTCTGTTTGTATGTATCAAAGATCAGATAATCTTTCAGTTTTCTCTTTTTTACTTCTTCTATCTGTTCGTATTTATCAAAGATCAGTTTTATTTGCTGGTTGGGTGTTAAGCAATATTTACTACCGGTGTAAGCTGCTGCAACAAATCAATACTTTTCTGTGTGCACAGCAAGACCTGACCTTAATGCTGTCAACCTTCTATCACATTTGACTGTGTTTCAATTTCTCTAAACTGTTTCCCAAAGCAAGTGATTTTAAGCTATTAGCAACACATAGCACAGGGCATCTTGCAGTGACTAAGTCTGCTAAGGAGGACTGTACACAATAGTCTTGCCATTATACTGTCCATTATACCAGAGAACATGGTAAAGTAGTCACTGTTCATCTGCTTTAACAGTTTAATTCATGGAGCAAAGATCTGCAACCGACCACATACACCAGATTTGGTATTTTATGGCAAGATGTCCATCAGCTGCAATGGCTCAACACTGACCTAAGGCTGCACTCTAAACTTGTTTCCACAGCCACAGCTCAGGGAGTGGGACAAATCATGCCAGCACCTCAATGCAGTGCCCTGTTCTGAACTGTTGCTAGCCATGGCTCCAGGTGACTTTGATTTATTAGCAGAGGTGTAAGTGCAATAACTTCCAACAGACAGGTTGGAGGTTATTAAATTAAATTGCCTCTGTGAATTATCCAGTGAGAATTTGACTGTGCTTTAAGTATGGAAGCTCTGATTCCTCATCAAAGGGGGACCAAGCTACTATGAACAGAGGTCACTTCACCTGTTAGTGATTGGATCCATGCAGAGTTTTAACAATAAAGTCGCTTATCTACTGCCTTCACTGCTCAAATTGGTTTGCTGCAACTTTTAACTGGGGAAAAAAGAACCTGCAAGATTTCTTGCCCATTACCCAAAAAAAAAAAAAAAAAAAAAAAAATCTGATTTTTCTCCCCCACAGGTGTTTCCTGGCAGGTTAGCTCTATATAAAGATTTGCTCTGTTAGCAAAAAGAACAGTTTTGACCTAGAAGGGCTGCCTGCACATTTATTCTGTTGCTATTTTCTGGGAATCATTAAGGCCCCCTTCTACTGCAAGCATAAGTAACAGTGATCACTACTTGCACTGATTACAAAGCAGAAGCTCTGTCTTCCACTGACACTGGAAATTCCTCCTGAGACTTTGGGGCTTATTTTATTTACTTGAAAGATTTCACAATTCTGTTTGCTCACAGGTAAATGAAGAGTAATAATGTTCACCCTATTAGGTGCTGCGGAGCTAAAGTAATTAAAATGCTTGTGAGTTCCTTAAATAAAGATGCTACACAGCTTAATAACATTACCATTGTAATATGCTACACCAAGTGTCACAATTTGCCTCTTATTTAATAGTTACTGCAAACTATAAATACAAGATCGACTGTAAATACGCCGTTACAAAGTACAAATCCTAAAGTAAGTGAAAAAGACAGTTTGATGCTACTGCAGTACATAAGAAAGTTGCTTTTCCAGCACACATGCAACAGGAGAATGCTTAAACCCCACTAGACTTGTCTGAAGTGCTGGGCTGTAAGAGAATGCTTCATGGGACCAAGCCCTGCCTTAGAAATGACTACACAAAGCTGGAAGAAGAGGCAAAACTCATAGCCCTCAAGCACATGAAAGATGGAGACTATCTGCCTTAACTACATTTGTTATTAGGATTCAAACCTTCCTGTAGAGAGTTTTCAGTGCTAAAGCAAACAAACAGAAATTGTGCTAAATTTATTGTCTTTATAATGTTATCCCTCTTGCTTAATAAAATATGTAATTAAAATATAGTATCTTAGAAGATGGAGGTTTCTGACTGCATTTCATTAAGCCTAATTTGAAGTTAAAAAATAACTTTTTTAAGATGCTTTATAAAAGATAATGCTTTGCATCGGGGACAAAAAAAAAAAAAGAAAAAGATGGTTTCCTACACAGACTGAATGGAATGTGATTTATTTCCTCATATGGAGTCTCAATACAGCAATCACCAGGGGAAAGAAACTACTATTACTTCTATATAGTCATCTATTTCCAGGCAAAATAACTACTGCATTGTTCAGCCCTTCTCTGAACAGATTCAAACTAGCTACTGCTAGTGGGATAGTATTGTACTATTATTATGGTAGCACTTGTAAGACATAGATCAGAAACCTGCTGCAGCAGGTGTTAATATATGTAAAATAGAATTTCTTCCCTCCACTCAATTTACAACCTAAGAGTAAATCCAGATACAGAGTAAATGCAGATACAGCCAGGAAATAGCAGGAATGCACTGTTCAGCTTAGTATAGCACATAATCGACTTAACATCCATGCAGTCCTTTGGTAAGCATCATGGCTAAAGAAACAACAATTATTAAGAAAGGAGTAGAGCAGATGTATACATATAGTGAGAAGCAGTACAGTTAAAACATTAAACATTCAGCCTACTGTGTCCTAGAAACATCGTAGGTCAATCCAAGGTAGGAGCAACCCTCAATTTACAAAAGGGGAGTTAAAAAAGCAGAGAACGGTATGTGTATACTGTGGAAATCAAAACATACATGTAATAGGCTGTACCAACAGAGGAAAAATTGTGAGGCACTCTGGTGCTCTGTCACTAAAAAACAAGAAAAAAAAAAGGCAAGTGACCCCCCCAGAAAATAGGGGCTACTAATGCTGTATATTGTCAAATATCAGTTCTGAGAACTTCTACTCACACTTTAAAGACAATAGCAATCTGAACACACAGTCTTAGTCCTTAGTTTTCAAGCACATACAGGACAGAGATAAGGAAGTGGAGGTAAGACATATATAGGTAAGAGGTAAGTAAATGGAAAAGCTGCAAGTAATCTGATGACTCTATCACCAAAACCTGGCATTAAATTATACTGAGAACCTGAAGCTTTATGTTGCCAAAGCATAAGAAAGCAAAGTTAGTTTTGGTTTTCTTTTAAATTGTCTTTTAAGCTTAAACTTCCAGGAGATATTAGACTCATACTCTATATTACCCTTTGCAGCCACTGAGTTTAGAAATCCAGTCTGGATTTTGTAATCAAAGCTGAGAGCCTAATTTATAGCTGTAACTGTTTGAATTGATAATGAAACAGTTGACATAAATTGAGTGAAGAAGATTGGAAGGAATGGCAACACTGTTACTCAGACAGCAGAGCCTACCACATCACTGTCTGAGCAAACCATACGGAAGGTGGAACTATTACCACAATTTCACCGGTACGAAAGTCTTTTAGAAGTCAGATGAAGCGATTATTCCCATAGGTAAGAGCTCAGACTGCCCTGGTTCTAGCTTGGTGCTTTAGTCTCAAGTACATAGAATCAGACTGATCTGTGTTGGAAGGGAACCATCCAACCCAATCATCCAGTTCCAACCCCTGCCACAGGCAGGGACCCCTTCCACTAGAGCAGCTTGCTCCAAGCCCCTGTATCCAGCCTGGCCTTGAACACTGCCAGGGATGGGGCAGCCACAGCTTCTCTGGGCACCCTGTGCCAGCGCCTCAGCACTCACAGGGAAGAGCTTCTGCCTAAGAGCTCATCTTAGTCTCCCCTCTAGCAAGTTAAAGCCATTCCCCTTGGCCTGTCCTTGCAGGCCCTTGTCCAAAGCCCCTCTCCAAGGGATATAACACATTCCAAGCTCCCTTACCACCCTCAAGCACACAGAACAAGGATTCCATGAATGCTTGAAGTAGGGCTTCAAGGCCGCACTCTACCGCTGTGCCTTGGCACCCGGGAAGGCACTCTGCACGGCCCGAGGTCTCCCGCCGCCACAGCCTCGGCGGAGCCTGCAGCTGACACACAGTCAGCAACGTGCTTAACAAATAACGAGACAAGACCCAAATTTTGTATTGCCCCTACGCCAACAGCTTTGGGTTTGACACTTTAAAGTGCATGGGTTGCTTCATTTTATTTAATCTGCTGCAACAAATACCTGAGACTGTTGCTTTTTAATGACAACCGCTCCTTCCCATAAACGGCCCAGTTCTAGAAGCTAAGATTTTATAGTACCAAACGCTTCAGAACCGCTTTGGAACGCCGATATGCAGATGCCATAATGGTACCTCCTCAGACACGCACCGGGCTCCCCACAGCGCCTCAGGCGCCACCGAGAGCGGCGGCTCTCCGGCAACATCCCCTCCAGCCGGGCCGGGCAGGGCCGCGGTACCTCAGCGGGGCACGGGAACGCAGGCTCCCCTCAACCGAAAGGGGAACAGGAGGAACATGCCGGACCTCTCGGTGCCAGGGTGGGAGCTGAGGTACCGCGGGGGCGGAGCCTCACGGCTGCGGGGGCGGAGCCTGCCGCTCTCCGCGCGCCGGTTCCGGTCTCGCGGCGGGCGCGGGTGTTTTCGGGCCTCAGCGACCGGCGGTGCCTGGGAGCATCATGGCCGCGGCCGCGTGGATGCCGGCGGTAAGCGGCGGGGAGCAGAGACAAGCACATTACCCCTGTGCCCTGGGGGCGGGCGTCCGACCAGGCCGCGCCTGTGACCTTGGCCGCGGCTCGGTGACGCCTGAGGCGGTGCTGCCGCGGGGGGGACCGCCTGCAAGGTCGCGGTGGCGCCGGGCCCGGGCAGCGCCGCCGAGGGCGGCAGGGTTGGCGGGCCGCTTTTCCCTCATCCCCAGGACCGAGCCCCGCCACGGGTGGGTGCAGGGCGGGCCGTTATTTCAACGGCAGCTGCTGCCCAGGGGAAGGGCCCCGGAGGGGCCCGGGAGGTCGTACCGTAGAGGTCATGGCACTGCAGGCCGCGAGGGGCCCGGGCCCGGCGGCAACGGGCGGTCGCTGTGTGCCTGCAGCCGGGGTTGTCCTGCCCTGCGTTCCCACAGCGAAGGCAGCAGGACGCGTCCCTGTCCCTGAAGGAGGTGCCGTGCCTGTCACTACGGAGGCTGCTGTGGCAGTGCCTGGTACTGTCTTCCGCAGGCTTCTGGCCTGTCCTCGGGGATCTGCTGAGTCCAGCTGTTCGGAGATGCAGCCCTATTGCGGCGCTGCTTTTTGCCTTTAGTAAATGGCATTGCTTTAGCGCCTGTAAGTACTGTAAAATTATAGCCTGTGGAGGCCAAGTCATTGCAGAAGCCGCACTTCATGTATCTGCTGAAATGCGGGAGAACTGGCAAGAGGGTTTAATGGCAGAACACAACAAGTCTTTCTGGCCTGATCTCTTCTAGCATTCCAGATGTTGAACTGAAGTGTGATGTACCAGGCCCAGAATTTCTGGCAGGCTCGACTGTTCCTTTCCAGGGCTATTCTGGAATGTGAATCCTGACTGTGCATGCAGGAACTGTACCATGAGGGCACTTACAGTTGTGTATTCAGTGTTTTCATTTAATCGCTTCAGCTGCTGCCTCAGATTCATGGCTTGCTGTGATGAACCTTGCTTCCCTGTTGCAATGACCTTCTACATGTCATGTCAGGTCGCAAGTAAAAATAAATTCTAGCTTAAATTACTTCTCCCACAGCATTCATTACAACATCCCTGAGAACTGCATTGTTTCTGATTGTTTCTGTGGGTGACAACGTGGTTTGTCCCCTTTGCCATACAGCTATGTTTAAGCATACGTGTCAGTAATGATAAGAGACTGGAGAGGAGTACAAACTGTCCAACATTCCAGTCTAGCCTGATAGCTGCAGACAGGAATGTGGCAAAGTCTTCCAAGTGTTGGCACTGGAAGTTTTCTGACTCCTAAGTCCCAGAAACATGAAAGCCCTGGAGAGGAGGGTAAGGTTGGGAGGCTGCGTTTTCTCTGCAGTTCAGTATTGGTACTGGTACAACTAGGGATTTTGTGTGTGGTGCTCAGCCAGGGAAAAGCTCAAGCTGAGATACCATCCCAGTTGTGAAGCTTAACACCAGTTACTCAGATGTCAGGAGTAATTGTTTGACTAGGCCATGTCGACTTGTTGCTATGATGGATTTTGTCTTTGATGTGCATGTCAGTTCTGCTTTTTAAATACTGTTGGGCAAACAGAAGGCAACAGCACAAAACCTGCTGATGGGAAAGGTGGAAGAACAAAACCCACCGCAGTCTGAATGGAAGAAGTGACACTAATGCAAAGCAGTTTTTAAAACATTACTTAGAATGTATAAAGATACTGTCCACCCTATTGCTAGTGAATGTGTTTGATTTTTCACTTGGCTTTCCATGAATCTTAATCCTTAGCATATCCTCTGTTTAGTCAGAGTTACTGCAACCTTACTTCAAATGTGTAGTATTCAAGGACTCGCTGTTGTGCCATAACCTTGCCTCACCCCAGGCATGGTGTATCCTGGGTTTACCCTGTGCTAAGAATAATCCCAGGATGTGCCAGTGTACAGAAGGTTAGAGAGTAACATGGCAAAGTGTTCCTTACTCGTGTTTCATCTGGATCTTTATACTAACTTGAGAGAGGGGGTTTGAAGCAATATGATTTTAAAACGCAGATTTGCTGCAATACTGTTAACTTTGAAAAATCCCATTTGTGTAATAAAATAGCACCTTCTTGTTTTATATCCTTGCAGGTTTCTCGATTGCTAGGTGCTTTCAAAAACCAAAAACAGGTGACCAGAAGTTTTAGTAGTGCTGTGAGTATAATAGTACCATTTTTCCTTTCTTTTTAAGAAGTTTCTCAAGAAAGTGGTTCAGAAATTTACTTCTATAATATCAATGTTGTTATTTTTACATTCTCAAGAAATAAGGCCTAAATAAGTGAGCTTACATGCTCTTAATGCCATGCTGGATTCATATTGGCTTACTGTCTTTGGCAATCGCATATTAAAAACTAAGTGATAATACAAAAGGCTCCAGCAAAAGACAGAAGTGGTATGAAAACTTTTCACACAATCTGGACATGAGCCATCTTCTGAAACTCATCTGGCATTGGGCAAAGGAGACAGATTGTTGAGAAGCTTCTCATTTTCTTTACTTTGCATACTTCCCTTCAGGCACTACGTTTACTGTTGCTTTTAGAATACCTCACGCTTAAAGTTGTGCCTCCTCAAGGTTCTCTTTGAAGTATTTTAGATGCTAGTGGCATATTTCCTCGTAGATGTTTTACCTTCTTCACGTGTATGTGTTTGAAGTGCCCATGGGCCTTTTTTTTCCAGTGAAGGCTGCCCTCAAAATGGCTCAGGCAGGGGCAGGGCTCAGCACCACAGCATGCACCCTTAAACAGGACTTAAAGAGGAACTGTGGCTTTTAATTATAAGCTTTGTAGAACAGCATGTAGAAGACCTAGAAATGAGACTGAAGGGTTGCTCATATCTTATACAGTTTAAAAAGGTTGTTGAAGGTGGGGCACCCTGGTTCTGTTTTTACCACAGTCCTGTGTCAGGTGAAACATTCTCTGGCTCAGGTGGAGCCCTAACACAGCACAAAACTAGTTGTGAGGCATTCCATCAGCTATGTGCTTGCTCAACAGCAGGGTTCTTGTATCTGAAGCTCTGCTTCTTTTGTTACGTACAGTGAATTTCTTTGGCTCACATTTGTTAAAATGTCAGTGTATATTGAGATTCTGAGTATTGTGTGGAGCAGGATGGAAGCGTATCTTGTGAATTGATTTTAGTTCTGATGCTGTATCTGAGCTGCCTTTTCTGGTAGGTAATAATGAGCCCTGACAAAACTGTTGGGAGCATGGAGGATTAGAGTAGTCATCATCATCTATTTATGTTTTTTGATCAGAGCACTTTCTTCCCCAGTTTTTCAATGAGCCTGAGCTGTGCAATTTGGTTCAGGTATTTGATGATGATAAAAGAAACAAGACTGAGAACATTATAGGAGGAAAATAACTAGGTATTGTTAAAAATGGATCTGAGATTTTTAGGAAGTCACTTGAGAAGTTTGGATATGCATGAGATTATTTTTTTTTAAGCTTTTCATAATTGTCATCATTTCTAGCATGTGTCACTATTATGCAGCATGTTGCTAATACTGGAGACATACGGGTAACAGAGCCATAACTAAGTAATAGGATCTCCTCCAGATTTCAAGAAGGCAGCATTCTGAGATGATTTCTTTCAAGGAATACTGAGAAGGAACCTGCCCTTCAGGTTAAACCTCTGTGTTTTGAAATAGCAGTAGATAGTAGGCAGATTTTTAAACAGTTTCTCAACATATCTGCATGCTGCCTTTGAAAGCAAGCCAGTCATCCCTCCTTCTGTCCAGTGCCGCTATTCTTCATAGCACTCATTTGGTAACTGAAACTTCCTTTTCTAGTTCCTTGTTTCTTACAACACATGAAAATGTTTTCTTCATGGAAAACAAGCATTCATTTGTTGTGCTACTGATATTTCTGTACCTAGGTACAAACAGTAACTTTAATCCCAGGAGATGGCATAGGACCTGAAATTTCTACTGCTGTCATGAAGATCTTTGATGCTGCCAAAGTAAGTAATATTAGTCTTGCTGTAAGCATTACAAATTTAACAACAACAAGTATTAACTAGTTAATATTAACTAGATTTGTCTTTAACTTCCAAACAGTCAAGTCATGTTTAAGCTATTAAAACTTGACAATAGAAAGTCTGAAGCTTCAGCTAGTAAAAGATAGGACTGGGATATCAAGGCAGGGCTTGATACTGTTAGCTGGCAGAGAAGTAGACAGCAAATGCTGTATTCAACTTTGGAAATATGAACTCAATATTCATGGAAAATCATCTTGTTGATGAAGTGATCCTGAGCAACTGGGAGAAGTTGTTCTCTTGTTCATTGTGACTTCCAGTGCAGATGAAAGCATGTGTGAAAGGACTGGCATGTTCTTACAAATCAAACTGCTGCACTGCTGAACACACTCACTTCAGTGATACGAAAGTAGAGTATGTCCAAGAACTCTGTTACTGCCTGTCTGAGGAACCTCACCAGAATTTGCCCAGTTTCCTTAAAAGGAAATAGAGCTGTTTCAGGAAAGATGCCTGTTAAATGGTTCTGCATTAGTAACAGCACCAAGAGATACTCCTTTCTGTAACAGCTATCCAGCTTGGACTGAGAAAAAGTCAATTTCTCTTTATCTAGGAAGACCTTGTAATAGTTTTGGTTGTTTCTGGGGAGTCAAGCAGGAGAGGTAGAGGAGTGAAAAGCTAAGTTTGTGCATGAATGCATGCTTACAATACTTTATCAGATTTGTTTGTTTTAAAGGGGATTCTCTAGTGTGTTACACTTACATTGGTTCAGTTTGCAAAGCCCTTGTATCTTGTGCTTTATGGTCCTTCCTGATGAGCCTGTCTCCACTTACAAGTGGGTGAATGGAACATTTGCAGGTTTTCAGTTAGAAAACAGATATATATCTGTTATGAACTGTCTTCCAGGCAGTATGGATGACAAGTTCTCAATGAACTCAATTTTCAAATGTTTTGTCTCTTGTATACAAGGAACTCAACAGCTCTAAGAACTGGAAAGGTGTAGCATGTATATTACAGTTCTGAGGATTGCTGAGTACATGGCACCTAGGGAAGCATCATGGTATTCAAGTTACGATGATGTGTTGCCCATACTATTTCATTTTCACTTAATTACATTTTAAACCAAAACGTTTCTTTTTTTACTTCAGAAATCTCATGATTACTCTCATTTACCAGAGAAAAATTTAGGAAGGCCTGGACAAATTCCTTATGCACCTTTTTGTGAAATGAAAGTTAAAGCTTGAAGCAAAAGTGATGATATTTAAGTTAACGTAGAGTGAATGTGTTTAGACTCCTATTCAGTGGGAAGAAAGGAATGTTACAGCTATCCAAGGACCAGGAGGGAAGTGGATGATTCCTCCAGATGCCAAAGAATCCATGGATAAAAACAAAATGGGATTAAAAGGTACATTAAAGGGGGTTAATACAAATATACTAAATACTGTTGGTTTTATTGTGACTGATTTAAAGCTGAAGACCTTCATTTGCATAATAAAATGGCTTATTATAGGGGACAGCCTGTCAGGTAATTACAGTCTTCTGTAATTTTAAAACCATCCTTCTTTGTGAAGCCATAACTTTCATAGATCTTCTAGGAAATACATTAAAGGCAAGTACTGCTACAAGCCAGCCTTTGGACTCTGTGCAGGATGCTTTTCTGATGATAGTATTCAATAACTATATTCCTAATGGTGTTTTGTTTTTGTTGTTTTCAGTCAAAAGCTTTTGTAAAAACTCCTGTTCCATGCAAGGGTTGGCCTTTAAACAGCTGATTAATATCACTGTAGTAGTACTCAATAGCACAGGGAATTGCTGTGGCATTTCAGCAGAAGGGTTCAATAGGAACTTGGAGATCCTTTGTTAAGAGTACCACTCTAGGTTACTAGAGTTTGAGCTCTGAAATTCATGGAGGGATTTACCTTCTCATTCATTCTTAGGTTTGTTTTTTACTTTTTCCCTTTAGGGCCTTTAAAGACCCCAATTGCTGCAGGACACCCATCCATGAACCTGCTCCTGCGTAGAACCTTTGACCTTTATGCAAACGTCCGTCCCTGTGTCTCAATCGAAGGGTACAAAACCCCATACACAGATGTGAACATTGTCACAATTCGAGAGAACACAGAAGGCGAATACAGTGGAATTGAGCACGTGGTACGTTGCTGGAAGTGGTGTGTTTTCTGCGTTTCGTGAAGGATAACTTTGCCCATCTCAGTGGCCTAATAGTAGGAGGTTCAGTGGTGTTCAAGTTTGCTACCCATCAAAACCATCAGTGCAATTACTGTCTTTCAGATTGTTGATGGTGTTGTGCAAAGTATCAAGCTGATCACAGAAGAAGCCAGCAAGCGTATTGCAGAATTTGCTTTTGAATATGCCAGAAACAACCAGAGAAGCCACGTTACTGCTGTGCACAAGGCAAACATTATGTATGTTGACACTTCTTCTTGAGAAGAATAACAAATAGTAATATGCATTTAATTATAAGTAACTTAAGTGCCCCTCAAATGTATAACTTGTGTTGGTGTTACTGGGAGTAAGTAATGAGGCAATCCTAACCCAGTATTGATAAGACTCTAATATCCTAATGTTATTATTAGAAAGCCTGTAGTAATTCTGTGACTTTCCTTGCAAAGATCTTATTTTAAAAAGAGTCTTAAGCTAGGAAAATGAATTTAAAAACTGAGGATGGAAAAGGCACTTTGTACTGAACTGAGTTCTAAGAGGCGATATTACATGACACCACCTTTACAAACTCAGGAAACCTTTAGTAAATGAACAGGATTCCTCCTGAGAATCAATGTATGCCTGTTAAATAACTGATACAAAAGTATTTTAGGAGGCAGTTTGAAAGGCGGAACTGCTCTGACTGCAATATATTTAAAAGATCATTTAACATAAGGGATAATTAGTAACAAAGTTTCTGCTAATTCTGCTAATATTTTAATCTAAATTTGTATACATATTTAATCCTCTGTTGCATGCAGTTTTCTTTACCTTCAGTATTGTTTTTTAGAACAACTGCACTATTCTCTTGCTTATTTAATTGCAGGAGAATGTCTGATGGGCTTTTCTTGAGAAAATGCCGGGAAGCAGCAGAAAACTGTAAAGACATTAAATTTAATGAAATGTACCTGGATACTGTGTGTCTGAATGTAAGTATTGATGTGTCTTAATTGTGACTAGTTTTAATTTTAAATTCTTAACCTTAATGAAAATATACTTCTTTCTAGATGGTTCAAGATCCATCACAGTTTGATGTGCTTGTTATGCCAAACTTGTACGGCGACATCCTCAGGTATGGAGATTGTAATTTCAAGTACCTCAGTGTGTCCAGTGCTGTTGCTTTCCAGACAGTTACTCAGGTTATGTGCTAGCCAGATGGGTGATGATTTTATGCATTCAGAGTTTAAAACTTTATACCTCAAACTTTAAATGGGTAGAAAGGATGCTATTTCTTCAATTATTACTATATTGTTGGGAGGAGCTGCATGATGAGAATGTCCTTAGATAAAATCAAATTTCTGCTTATGGAGGCTATTAATATATTTGCATGGGCCAGAAGAGAAATTTCTCCAAATATGTGAAGAATTTAATGACTTAAACTGTAATGAAGAATGCTTAGTTAGATTTTGGGGGGAGACTTTCTAATCTTAAGCACTAAAATAGATTGTATGAGGTGACTGTCGGACCATGATGTTTACAGCAAGCTAACCATATAGCTAAATGATCGTGAATAGTCACTGAAGAATGAACCATGGTGCCTCTTAATACCTTGCCAACTCTTGTTTTATGTGTTGTATTTTTCCTTATTTTCAAATTAAATTGCATATTTGAGTAACGTTAACACTAGAGATACTTAATCTCTTGAAGGCAAAATACATCTGAACACTGTTTCCATTCTGTTAAATGCTTAGGTAGAGTGTAAATTCAATTAAATGCTGCATGTAAAATTAAGTATCTTAATCTGAACTTTTAACGTAGCATTACTTCCCCTTGCACCTCCAAGGAGAGATTTAGAAAACAGCATGAATTAGAATTTACACCTTAGAACCCATCCCCTGCATTTGTAGAGATAACAAAAGTAAAGGTAGCTTATGTACAAGAAGGAATGCCTGCTGAGCTTCTCTTGAAATGGCGCTCTATGATAAGGCTGTTTGTAACCTCTAAGAAAAATCAGACTCCCAGCTAATGCTTCTTGCATTAAAAACTGTTAGAGGAGTGGACAGGGCTGTTACAGCAGCTGTTAACCAAAGGAGATCAAAACAGATGAGTCCCACCAGTACTATTTCAACTCGCTTTATCTAATTCAGTGTCACTGATCTTAAAGGTTTGAAGTTTAAAATTTTAAAGTTCTCATAGAAATTCTGGAAACAATTCCGTAGTTTTAAGCATTTTCAATAAACACTGCTTTTTTGAAGTGCGAACATCATGCCAGACAGGTTTCTCAGACTGAGTAGGTACAGCAGGGAATCTCTTACCTTGAACCTTACCTTGAACTGTAACAAATTTAGACTGTATCCATTTTTTTGCCTCCAGACTATACAACTAAAGCTAATTGGGTTATTTTAGCTTAAACTTGAAGTATTATTCTGCAAGGTCATCCAAACTTTTCTGCTAGTGAGTCCTTGCTCAGCTAAGTTGTAGGCAATAAAACAGTATGCTAAAATACCAGAGTTTGAAGAGCCTTGTTTATCTGTATGCTCAGCTTTGAGGGTACAGGATGATGACTGTAGGCACAGTTGGTTTGTTCTTCCCCATGTTAATTCTGTAGGAAACCAAATGCAAAGTGCTTGTGTAAATTGCTTGTGTCTGATGATCTCATTATGTCAGACTTGTGGGCTGTTTAAGAAAGAGAGGGGGAAAGCTAGTCTGGTGTCACTGGAGCACATTCCCTAAGCCAAATGCAATAAGCTTTAAAACTACTAGTAATTCATCTACCTAATATCAGCTATGTTCTAGTTATTTGGAGTTACATCTTAATTTTCCTTTATTGAACTGTCCCCTGCTATTAGTTCTACAAATTTACAAATTAGCCACTTGTACTCCATTGGAAAACAACATCTATTCTTCCCAATGCTATTCTCAGACTGTGTGGGTGTATCAAATAAGTTCTTGTTGCAATAAACTGAGAAACAAGAACATCTGAATACCTTGCAAAGAAGCAACTGTATATGGAAAAACTTGTGGGTTTGTTGTTTTTTATATCTCCAGTGACTTGTGCGCTGGACTGATTGGGGGTCTTGGAGTAACACCAAGTGGCAATATTGGTGCTAATGGAGTTGCCATTTTTGAATCGGTAAGCTGTCTTCTGCAAGGTACAGTATTAACAACTGATTTGTCTCAACTGGAGAATCTAAAACTTTTCCATGACATACAGTGTGGCTATCATTGGATTGAGTTCTATGTAAAACTGTTCTTTACTGTGAAGATGCTGAACCTTTACTCAGAGACAGAAGGTACATTATGCATTACACACACAGTATGAATTAAGCATAGTTTTTTGCATGTCCTCTTACAGACACTTTGTTTTTCCTTTGTTTTGTAAGATAAATATCCTCTGTGAAATAGAACTTCATGGGCACAATTGAGAAATACTAGGTGACTTAGTTACCCCTTTCTGATGCCTTTGAATTGAATTGTTCTGGTCTTTCCCATCTCCTTTCCACTAACTGTATCACTGTGAAGTAAGTCCTATTTTAACTCACTTGTATGAGGATTATGTTTCAGGTTGCTTGCATACACTTGAATTGCCTAGACCATTTTAATCAGCATTACTGACATCGTAACAGATAGGTTCACTTTTATTTCTAGGTTCACGGAACAGCACCGGACATTGCAGGAAAAGACATGGCAAATCCAACTGCCCTTTTGCTGAGTGCTGTGATGATGTTGCGTCACATGGGACTACACAAGCATGCTGCAAAAATTGAGACAGCTTGCTTTGAAACAATTAAAGACGGAAAGGTAATCTAAGGGTGTGCAAATAAATGCACTGAACTGAAATCATATTCTATCATAGCAAAAATTATCTTCAAACATTACCACTCGAACAGTGTGGTAATGGAACATCACCTGCTATGCTGACCTGATGCATGAGCAGTGCCACCATCCTTCTCTGATAGTAATTTTATTACCTTTGGTGGCATTAAAGCTGCCCAACTCAGTAATAAGGATAGGCTGTGGCATTCCTTGTGTCTCAGTAATGCTCATATTTCCACACCTTTGTTAACTCTCAAAGCTAGAACTGGATGTCTCTTTTTCATGAAGGTGATTAGAGGTTTAAGTAACTAATGATATTTCAGTAGTGAAGTTTATAATGTATACAAAAGACATATATTTAAGTCTGGGTCCTGAAGTGAAGGATGCTCCTTTGCCTTTCACAGGCTTAGTCCTCCACTTCTTTTATAGCATTTCAGTCCTGACTAATATTTCTGCTCCTCTTTTCAGTTCCATTGTTTTCTTTTTTGCCTTCTAACTGCTTTCACTCCTTTTTGGGCTACAAATAGGTTTTATCCAGTATCTACTTTTTCCCCTTAAGATTGAATGCAATTTCCCTTTGGCAGCAAGTGTCTCCAGATTAGAGACTCAAATGGCATATTCAGGGACACACATGCTCTGAAACCTGACTTGAATTTGTCCTCTTAAAATTGTTGGTTCACTCATCTACTTTTACATCCACCTTTTCAAACATAGCTGGAAAGATTCTGAAGATTGCAGTTAAAGAGGATTAGCAGTTAGGCTGGTTCAGTTATCTTAGGCAGGAGCTTAAGAAGCTGCTTTGTAATGAAAAGTGACAAGGATGCTTAAACAAAAAGCTGTCATAATTTCATAAGTGGTCTGTTTGTAGCTATCTTACTGTGTGTAGGAGGCAGTTAAAAAATATCTAAACTTACAAGTGAATAAAGTGCTCCTGTAAAGTTCCCATTTACTTCTCTGGAAATGAAATATCCTCCATCTGCAGGTCAGTAACTCTATGGAAGATAACATAGTGCAAGTTTTGTGACATGGCTACTTGTTTACTAGTTACTTACACCTTTATGGTTATATGTTCACAATGGAGAGAATCTTTTTGAATTGGCAAAAAAGCATAATGCAGTTAAAATGACCAAATCCTAAAATAATTCCCTCTCCTGCTTTCTGTTTCTCCCTTTCCCTTCCCCCCAGCCATTTAATTAAGATCACTCTGTGTGTCATGTAAGGGGAAAACTCGTGATTTTAAATCACCTTCTGGAGTGCTTTAATCTAGCGAGGTTGGACTAGCAATGCTGCCCACTTCTTTCTTTACTATCTTTATGCTGCCGGATAGGAGCTGCACTTGATGAAAAGCTTTCTTTAACTCTGCATTTTCCATCTCTTACTTGAACTAAGCAAACTGAAAGAAGTGTTAGCACTCAGCATTAAGAGCTATGTGTGCTTTTTCTGGGTAGATTTCCTTAAAAACAAACAACAAACACACATTAAATTAAACAACAACGGAACAACCCAAAACCCATACAAATCCCCCAAAACCAGTTAGTTACCTTTGTGCTGAGCCTTCATATATAATTTTTACTTTCAAAAGACAAAGTTCCTATTGAAAACTTAATAAAATCAATCATTAATAATGATTAATAAAATACTTGATGATTAATAACACTGTTATTTGGACAAGGGACTTTGGAGAGCTTTGGCCAAACATATTTTCTTCCTGTAGTTAAGATAAAATCATATGGAAACCTGATAACATGTGATGTTGGCACTCAAGTTTTCTTTACCTCCTTCAGTCCTTACAGTCCTTATTGATGAAATGTATATTGATATGGGATGCAGAAAACATCAAACTGGATGTATTCCTCCTCACTCCTATTTAGTTTTCAGACACAACATAGAAGAACATCATCTAGAACTGTTCAGGCAAGACCAGCCCCATAAAACAGTTTAGTAATAGTTTTTCTTTCTTTCTTTCTTCCTTTCTTTCAGGTCTTGACAAAAGACTTGGGAGGTAATGCCAAGTGTTCGGAATTCACAGAGGAGATCTGCCGCAGAGTAAAGGACAAAGACTAAATTTTTCTCATACTACCTGTAATAACTCCAAAAGGACACAGCACACAAAGTACATTATATATGATATCCATACGCGTATAGTTTGCTTGTCTCTTGAGAGCAAACTTTTTAGTTAGGGCCTCTCCATTAATAAAGTCAGTCCAAATGGCTATGAATGATGCTTGTGCCTGCTTTCAGTGGACTTGAAGTGTTTTTTCATATTTATTTTTTTCTATCTAGTGAACATTTTTATGTCAGTGAATTCTTTCATTGCCACTGGAGCTGTTCTACCATTTTCCATTTCACCTGGAGGTTTTTACTTTCCACAAAGAAAAGAAAATGCAAATAAACCAGTAATAGAATTAATGAAATATAAAAGCACCTTAATGGTTAAAATCTACTTTATTGATCTTGCTGGAATTTATGAGATAGGTTTTCAGCCTAACAGGAGCACATGAAGACCTGCATAGACAGAAACGGGTATGAAGTTAACTAAAAATGGCAATTTCATGTTAAAACCAATGAAGAAACCACTTTAGTTACTCTGGTAATTCATGAAGTATAGCCTTGCCCTGCAAGGGCATGAATAAAGGAATACAGAACCCTAGAGATTTAATCTATTTGTGTATTTTTAAAAGCCCATAACCATTTACCAGCCAGGGGTGAGAATTAATGAACTAAAATTATTGCTTAAATCCATATACCAAAATAATTCTTACAAGTTTTCCTCTCTGAAGGACACTTTCAACAGAGTTCTAATGAGAGTAAATTACTCAAAATTAGTTCTGCCAGTTATTGTGAGGGGAAAGTATTAACTTTGCAAATTTATACTATGGATTTCATGACTTCATGCTGGAGCGCTTTTTGTGTTGTACTTTCATGCATTCTGTTCAGTGTGTCTTACTGTATTGACTAGTAATTTTATTCTAGAAACCCTGAATGTAAAAGACAAGTCCTAAATGGGTTAAGACAGAGTGAAGGTTTGGCTCTGGTGCCTGCGTTCCAGAAATATATTTCATCCTATTCATGAGGATCTTGGACTATTTCCTTCAGGCTTACTGAGCTTAACGCACACAAAAGCAACTCTCTTTCCCTCCCTTCTTCTGCATGTACAGATCACCGTATGAGTCATTTGGATCTGTATGTCTCAAGGTATGCTTCCATTGGTACACCCTACAGGAAAATGTGTGTTTCAAAACTCATGACTACAGCACAGGATTATCCCTACTGCCAGTACCAGACTTCTTAAAGCTTAATTCTATTAATAGATATCACTCAATTATTTTCTTTTAAGACTGTTTAGACTGGTTGTTTCAGAAGTCAAATCAAGTTTAAGTAACAGCTTCTAGTGTTGCTGTATAAAAGTAAGCATCCCAGCTCTTTTTGTACATTCTAACACCACCTCGGAGGCGGGACAATGAGCTTTAGTCCTTGTGCACTCTGCTTCTGGTGAATAGGGCAACATTTCTTTCTGTGGTTTACAAGCTGCTGCTTCCTTGTTTCCTTCAGATTAGTATTGTTAAAGAACTTGGGAATTACCATTGCGCAGAAATGGGGAAAAATAAACTTTTCAAAGTCCTACTGCTTGTTTTGTTTTTCTAATCCCAGGCTGCTGTCTTGTGTTACGTGTTGATGTGCAAGACTGGTAATGGAACTTTCCTGGAAACAAGATCCAATTCTGCCTGATTTCTCTGATCAAGAACAGTGGCTGTGGCCTGGCTGCTTGTGTTACCTATTACAGCTCTGCCAAAGATCACTTACTAACAGCAAACCCTTTAGACAACCTTCTGGCACATGTGTCCCTCACCTAGTATGATTTAGATTTTATACAGGGAAGAAGAAATGCAGCTCCCACTTGGCAGCGTTAGTACAATGTGTGTATTGAAGCATGCAGACGCACACTGACAAACATTGCTCCAAAACCCTTCTGCTTTAAAAAAAAAAGTGTTATAAACAATTTGACCAAAGTTTCTGTTCTCAATAGCACTTTAATGTGAGACCTCCCATATTTGCTGCTTTGCCTTACAATCTCACGGAGCTATTGCCCCAGCTTTGGTTTTGCTTTGATTATTTGTTTCTGGGTGAGATAGTAATGCTCATTTCAACGTGGATTTAAGAAATTACTAGCTGGTGTTCTCACAGAAGTCTGAACTGTAACTGCTGTTAAAGTGGAAGAGGATTGTCTGCAGGTTCTGAAATGTGTTACTGAGCAAACAAAAACTTCTTTGGGAGGCAAAAAACCCCAGCCCTTTTGATTTTAATTTCTTTTAAATAACTACCTTACTGTTGGAGTGGTGGAACTCCAGCATTCTGCAGGAGTGCCAACTACTGCTCTACCCAAATGTAAGCAATGGGCAACTTTCGTGTTTCAGTATAGAGGAATTGCAGAAACATAGAACAGTTTGGGTTAGAAGGGAACATTCAAAGTTCATCTAGTCTAATCCCCCTGCAATGAGAATCTCCAACTAGATCAGATTACCCAGAACCACATCCAGCCTGGCCTTGAATGTCTCCAGGGATGGTGCAGCCACCACATCTCTGGATTATAGCCACTTTATGCAACCCAAGAGGACATTCTTAATCTTAGTCATTTAGGTAAAAGAACAGTATTAGGAAATGGAGGCACTGCATAGATGCTTCTGTAAAGAGGGCAAATGATCAGCTGAGTATCAGGAACAACTGAACTGACACAGCAGCTTTCTAGACTACAAAACCAAACCAAGTGTAAACCTTTGTTAATGCTTTTGATTAGGAAATTCTTTAGCTCACAGATCTTTCTTAATGCTTGGATGAAAAGACTGCTCATTCTTCATAGAAGGAGTCCACTTCAGTTCTGTATTTCTCTAGCACGGCAAGCCGTTTCAGCTTCATCGTTGGACCTTAGGAGAGGGAGGGAGTCACAACAGCAGAAATAGGAACAAAAAATTCCTATTCAGTCTGAGCTTTGGATCCTATGATTTTCTACTGAAAAGCCTGTTTGGAAGAACATCTGCCACTCTGTAAGTGCAGATAGCTGCTGAAAGTGAGAAGCAAGCATGGTATGTAGGGCATGAGGACTTCAAAAGGAGCTGCAGGTAGATGATGACTGACTCCTGCTACTTTTTTCATTAAAAATCATTAATTGTTTTTTGAATGCTTTTAAACAATTCCCAGTTTATTCAAAGAGCCTGGTAATGTGCTTGCAGCTCTGCTGTCAGGCTTTCACTGCCTTTCACTTTAAACCAATACATTTTCAGTATTATCAGGGAAAGTTACTAATACTATAGTGCACAAGGGATTAACCAGAATTGATTACTTAACTGTCCACAGCAATCTGAAATATAATTATTGAGCTGTACGTGTAAGTAAGCGCAGAAGGATACACATGTGCACAGCAAAACTTACAGTTTTGTATTCTTTAACACTTACTGCTAATGGCTTCTTCCTTTCCCTCTAGTGGCCGAGCCCAGAGTTGGGAACACAAAACTGCATTTGAATACTCTCAGATCAGCAGCCTCTTTACTATGTGTAGACCTCAACAGAAATCAGTAAATCTTACCTAGTTCTCCCCCAGAAATGGAAAAATCTCTTGGCAGGACTATCCATTTTTGGATACAATGAACCCTGTTAGTGGCATTCATGTTGACTTTGTTGATTCCCTCCTGAATGGCTTGGTAGATTGCCTGGTCTCTTGTGGTTACAATCTCTGACACTTTAGTGGCTTTACTACCAGTCTTCTGGCAGAAGTCTCTAGCTTGCTCAGTGAGAATGTCAGTGGGCTCAGATGTATCTGGGTCCAGCACAGTCTAAAATATCAAATGAAGTGAATCATCACATGCTCACTCTTACAAGGCATTAAAAGTTTCTCTGATCAGGTCCTTCCTGACTAATAAGAATCAAGCAGCTCATCATCAACAGCCAAACATCCTGGAAAAGCATTAAAACCCAGAAATACCTGCAGATGACAATGCTTTTTTTCCCCACTACCAGATGATACAATTATTTTTTGCTTATACGCAGATGAAATGAACAGACTTCAAAGGTGTCAATGAATAAGGCAATAAAGTCCATCTCTAGATCTTGAATTTCTACCACATTTTCTAAATTACTCCAGTGTTACAGGGGAACGTTTAACTCATTGTTAACTTGAATTACTGTGGTGTAATGTAAGCAGATTGAGATAGAAGCATTCTTTGAAATTAAGACTTCTTAAATTAGTATTTCTATTGTACCTGTAAATAGGGAGAATCAGTCATAGAGGTAAACAACCAGAGAAAAACTAAAGGGTCATTCACTATGTATGCACACAGAACAAAAAGTGCAAGTGATTTCGCAGGGGAAGTATGTACTACAGGAAAGCTATGAAATATTTTATCCTACATTCATTCCTGTGTTATTTGAAAAGAACAAATCATAGGGAAGTGTTTTGGGTGGAAAGTTTGTTTCTGTTGGAGAGTTTCTGTTAGGAACTGGGTTTGCCCCTAACAGAAACAGTTGTTGGCTTTGCTTGTCTGTAAAAATCAAAGGTATTGTTGTGCTCTTTGCAGATTTCTCACTCTTCCAATGTTTCTTAATTGAAATTTTCAATGTAGTTAAAAACTATGGTCTTACTATACACATAGGAGGAAACGGCAATAACACATAGATGTTTGACAGATCATATAACCATATGAAATTTAGATCCACCAGGATTTGGTCTGTAGTTATTATGCACTTTTCCCCCCACAAACGTCCTCATACCCAATTTTGTGTCTTTTCACAAACAGATCAAAATTATTTCGTTAGGTACTCCCTGAAAGCAATATTAAAACTGGTTTACCTTTAGAGTCAGCAACATTGACAAAAACTTCTTTTTATCTCCAATCACCATAGCATTGCTAACAATTGGGAGTTCTTTCTTAACAGCATCTTCAATTGGAATTGGGGGCACATTTTCACCTCCAGCTGTAATTATCAAATCTAGACAAAAAAGAAAGGCTGTTAGTTGAATTCAAATAAATTCTGACGATCAGGTTCATGTCCCTCTGACACAAAGAGATTTTTTTAACACTACGATTTCATGGTGTTAAAGTTCATTATCATAAGGTCATTATCTGAAAAAGAAAATGCTAATATTTTTCCTATATGTACTCAAGTTCTCACTTAAGTATAAGATACTTGCTCCAGATCACTTTTACGTCTAGTACCAGGTTAGTTATTCTCCAGGAGCTGTTACATAACCTGCAATTTTGGTGTGAACAATCACCTCTTCCCAATTAGTGTAGGATTCACACTCTATTTTACTGTTGCCACCTCACCATAAAGCAAGTCCATCGTTAATGATTAAAACTAATTCTTAAAGCCACCAAGAGAGGTCAGACAAAAGTAAGTTATGACTACAGGAAGGCTCCATAAAAGCAACAGAGAAAGGAGAGAGGAGTGTGAGAAATCAGAGGAGGAAGTCTGCAGTGCAAGCAGTGATCCCTGCCCCGAAGGAACAGAATGACACACTGGAATCTTAATGTTTATAAGGTTTGTATACAACGGTAGTCATACCTTATTCTACTAAGAAAGGAATGTGCATTTTTATTTGAATGCATTCTGTCTGAAGTACAGTACATACATTCCTTGGAATTGCCATACATTTTAGT